CGTTTTGACGAGCCCCCCAACGACCCGAATATCGTGACCGTACGTCGAGCGGTTAAGATTTGTGCCCAACTGTTGATGGACGGACGGACGATCAAGCGATTCTACAAGCTGCATCTGACTATGTCAGATGAGCTAAAAATTGTTTGTTTCCCCGCCTTTACCTACTCGCCTCTCAGGGTACCAAGTAGGTAGGTAGGTGAAAAATCTTTTTTATTTTGTTTTGACAAGATGTGTGTATGTATATTGTATATTCTGTTTTGTGTATATGTTTTTGCGAAACGAAATAATTTTGTTTTTGTTTTAATCAGCCAATAAATGTGCCGAGTAGCGGCGTTTTGGCGAGTCGGTCGGTAAAGGGGAAACAAGCATTTTTTTTATCTTAGGCCTGATCTAGACAGACACCTTGCAGCCCCCCCCCCCCGCTGTTGTCACTTCCATGAGATATGCGATAGTTCACCTGTAATGCAGTCAGAGTACACATATTACTGACACATATATTATGCTGAGGTCGTTAACTTTGCATCAGTGAGTGAACGTGCGTTTAGCTACGATCGCGGTGAAAGTCCACATTGAAAGGTCATCCATGGATACTTCACCTACATACCTTATCCTCGTTTGTATTATGATTAGTATAGATTAATATGAGACCGATTAACAGCCACGCGTAAAGTTCGAACGGGTAAAAATTGTCATCGTCGAGACTGTTGGAGCCAGTTACTTTTAAAATTGACTACGTCACGAATTTTCTATGGTGTATATTTGTAAAATTTCTGCGTGATTTGATATATTGATCACGACATAAAAATGCTTGCTATGGGCTATGTATGAGTCACGACTCACGAGTGTTTGTTCACATTGAACAAAATAGCAAAATAGGAAGTATATTGCAGCAATTTAACCATAAAAAGTGAACAGAATCACTTACATTTTGTGAAAAAGGGAACTTTTTTTTTTACTTTTACTATTTACAATGACGTAATCACTTTAACCCCCAGAGTTAGGCACCCACCACACGATGTGACATTGACATTGTTCCAACTTCCAGCTGTATATAAGGCAGGTTCATTTATTAAATGGAAATGGCAAGTGGCAATTGCAGAGGTATATCAGGGGTAGAAATTAACTTTTGAACACGGTCTACCTGCCCTCAAAAAGAGGGAGTCCAACCCTGCCCTCAAAAAGAGGGAGTCCGCCACAAATAGAGGGAGTCCTCAGCAATATGAGGGGAGTCCGCAGTCTGAGGTTCAAAACTAAAGATATTAACAATAACGCGTGTGCTTATTTTGAAGATTCGTGCGGTACGGTAACGTTCCACTTCTGCAAAATTGTCTTTGGACATTTGCTGAAAAAATATGGTAATTCCACGAGGCCGTGCTCTGGAACGAACTAGTTAGTATAGCAGAATTTTCAGGGAGTCACACGAACTCCTGCATATGTCAAATCAGGGAGTGCGACAGAAAATCAAGGAGTATTTGACTCCGGACCCCGTTAATTTCGCACCCTGTATATATCCTAACGCAGGTACACCTGTATATACACAGGTCTACATGATTTATATCCAACCCTACATAGTAGAAACAAGAATACTGAAAAAAGAACGTGATATAGGAATTGACATAAATATCAGGGTTTTTGGTGTACAGCTAAGCTTAGTAGTAAGTAGGTTTAACCGTAAATACAGACAGACTTGCAGACCTATAGCATTATTAGAAGCAGAGCAGAAGGTTACACCACAAAATACTGCACGAATTAGGATTTCCTGTTGCACACAAAAGCAATTTAAAGTAAAAATACATCTTTCCTGTGAAGTACTCCATTCTATTCGTAATATTTCCTGACCCGACTCACGTCACCAACTCCATTCATGTACAACAAGCACATGAAGGAGGTTTTACATGTTGATGTGGAGTCCTCCCTACAGGTTCAGTTGGCAAACTTGCAAATATGTACATACGTGTGTGTGGAGCACCTTAGGCAATGTGCCAGAAAAGGGCATGCATGTGATGAATGGGTAGTTAGTGATAGCTCACTGAATAGAGTAATAGCGTGAAGAATCATGTAAACACACCATGGATGCAAGCGCAGAGAGCTGTTCTAGCCAATCAAGCAATGGAATTATGCCACAATACTAACAGAGTCCTTGTAAAACGTAGTTATTACTACAACACTGAACAGTGTTTGCGTGTATAGTACCAAGGCCATCCTTAAAAAATGATATGTTTGCTGTCCTCCGACCGACCCACGAAAATAGCCGCGACCCAAGTTTTTTTTGACATTTTGGGTTCCATATTTTTTAAATTTTTTTTTGACATTTTTCATAGTTAAGACTGAAACACACAGCATGTGTGGCAAACATGAGGACAGACTTAAAATAACTATTATGCCTCACACACAAAAATGACCTACCTACCTACCCACTAAAAATATCATGGGTCGAGGGACAGCAAACATAGAATTTTTTAAGGATGGCCCAAGGCTCAGACTTAAATCTACAAGTTATTAGTTATTATGACATCATAAACAGGGCCGTAGGCAGAGCAAATTCTTAGGGGGGGGAATTTCATGACTCAACTGTGTAATGATGTGCGACGGGCGCAGCTCTTGATCAAAGTCCATAGCGTGGTAGGGATGGGTCTGAGATAAGGCTTTCACAGATACGTGACCAAAAAACGTTATGGTTATTTACGATTATTAGCTAAGCTTATTTTTTAATTCAAAATCTAGGGGGGGTAGATCCCCCCCTTGCCCCCTGAGACTACGGCCCTGGTAAGTCTACAATGTCATCACGTTTGAAGTGAAGTGTCATTCAAAAGTTACGACATTATAGACTTATATGACAGTCGTTTACATAGGTCACTAGTATCTACTTAGAAACAATAATAATGTAACCCAATAAGTGTATAGGGTTCTACCCCTCCACCTACCCATACTATAGTACTAGATCTACCCCTCCCCCTACCCATACTATAGTACTAGATCTACCCCTCCCCCTACCCATACTATATAGTACTAGATCTACCCCTCCCCCTACCCATACTATATAGTACTAGAGCTACCCCTCCCCCTACCCATACACGTGTTAGGCTACATTATTGATCTAGTATCTACTATGTTTATGACATCGGACCCGAGACCCCTCACAAAACGCCCATGCCATTTGGCCAGAACCAGTATAGTCTATATACTGGTCAGTGCATCCATACAGCCGAACGCTAGACACGACACCTGCAGCGTGGAGACGTATCTACTCAGATCTACTCGTGTAGCCCTGAACTCCGCGACGGAAAAATTAAGGCAATTGTGAAGCGATCGAACTTCGAATTTGAAAGACTACATAGGAACGGGTGACACTACAGTTATATTAGTCCGTGTTTCCTCCGAGTAGAATGCCCACACCGACGATTTTTGGTGGATTTGGTTGTGGTGTTGGTGGTGGGTTGGTTTGGTGTTGACCAAAAATCGTCGGTGTGGGCATGCATCGGTCAGAGGAACACACGTATATATATATATGTACACACGCGTACAGGCACTTGGAACGTCTCAATAAAAAAAAGAAAGTAAATAAAGACGAAATGTATTTACTACCAGTCTTAATGTTTCTCTAATCTATTTCGCCTATAATCACCTGTAAATGCCGGTCAAATGTTCATCTGCAACACACAAGTACACCGCACGCTAGCTGCTGCACACTGAGTCTGACACATAAATATATGCAATTACTACGTACGTAGCCTATAGCCTAGGCTATATATATATTTATGTGTCAGTGTGCAGATAGCTAGATACAATAATGTAACCCAAACCCAAGAGGATAGGGTTACAAAGCCTCCCTTTTTTTCTGTTTCTGTTGTAGTACGTTGCAGTATCCAAATTTGGCATCGAGGCAACGGGCTATAGCTAGCCATGAGGTGTAACCTAGCTTAGGTAAAGCCAGGTAGTCAGCATTTTTAGCCAATGGCACTGAGGGTGGTCACAGCCAGAGTTTTTTTTTGCGTCCTTAGTGGTTCTTTTACGTCCCCATGGCTGGTATTTCTGGAGACGGGACCGCCATTTTACGTGGTCATCCGAGCCACGGGAGATTCACAGTCTCCAATGTTGAGAGCCAGGTTTTTTACACCTTGAGAAAATTCACTGCCCCTGCCGGGGTTTGAACTCGCAGCATTCAGTGGACAGTGCACGATGCCTACCACTGCGCCACGGAGGCTCTCTATTGGCTCTAGAGGCTCCCTATCCTTTTGTGCGGAGGAATGCCCGAGTGAATCACTCGGGCCGGTTTGCTGGTGCGTTTTCAGAGACTAGAACTTCCAAACTTGGTTTATTCTCAACACGAACCTTTCTCCGCTATCTAGGAACTTACTATGTATCGCAATACTCTGTATTAAACTAATATAACCTGTTACAAAAATTTGAAGTGACGAGCGGCGAATATACTGAGCGCCATTTCTGTTGACCTGTGACGTACGCATTTCCCAATGCGCATAGCGATCGGCAAACGCAGCGCCCCCTGATTTGTTGGGGGATCCCCTCTTTTAAAA